AATGTTTGACACACAGGTTACGTTACTCCTATATATGGGATTAAAAGATCCATTAAGAATTTAATAACTGATGGAAGGATTTTGTTAATCTTTGAATCATATGATTCCACCTCTTAATTAATTAAGTAGTAGAGTTCCACTTCCATTCCACCACATAATTACTAATTAAGGAGTCCTAATTAATTATTGTCATAATCATTATTTAGGTAACCCTACAAATCAAGGTCTTCTTCATTGGTCTAAAAACTTCCTCTTGGTCAACCACAAGCCAAGTATATCTCCTATAAATGGCGCTGCAAAGTATAATGATTATGGAGTCGGAGTTAGGTTCAATACATGAATACTTTATTTCTCTCTCCTCCCCTAAATGCATTTATAATGTTGTTAAATCATTTTTAATGTATATATCCCTACTCATTTCAAAACAAGAAATTCCAGAATTATTCAACCAACCTAGTATATATGTATGTATACTAATTAATTTCAATTATGTTTGGCCATTTCAATCATTGGAGAAAATGAAGGTTTTCTTCTTGACATGAAATTAATGACAGATATTATTGTATAGGGGTGTACATAGGTCAGGTTGATTCGGATTTTACAATTATCAAATCAAACCAATTATGTCGGGTTATTAAATCTAAAGATCAAACCAAATCAATAAAGCTCGGGTTTTTCAATCTCGGTTTTTCTTGGATTTTCGGGTTATTCAGATTTTTCGGAGTTTTTTCCGGTAAAATCTTCGTAGAACAAAACATATAACGTATGCTCAAAATATTTCTTTAATACTAATAAGATATAACTATATAAAGTATTTTCCAAGAAAATAATATAAAATATGAGATGTGGCATTATACTAAAATATTCAACAATAAAGACAATAAAATTATGTAATATAAATATTGCTAATTAAAAATCCATAATAAAAATAAACATAATCTATAAGTACTAAGTCATGTTAAATAAATAAACTAATACGGGAGTATTAATTACATGATTAAACGCTGAATAAAAATAAAAATAGGTTATGCATTTTTATCTAAATTATTGCAAAACAAAAAATAGATATTCAATACATTCTCGTTCGTAATATTAAATTGAATGTCTTTTGTTAGCAATAGTATTGATTCGATTTTGGTTTGGCTTTTGTTAGTATTATTTAATTTACTAATATTAATGGCTAAGCATTCAAAAGTTCTAAGTCCAACCTTGAAACAATACCTTAAAAGATAAAATTATGAAAATTTTTANAGAGAGGCTGCAGGGAATATAAGATTCACCTTCTCCATCTAAAATCGTGTTGGTAGCTAGCAAGGAAAAAGGTGGATCACATGGCACCATGAGAATTGAGAACCTTAGAAGAATAAAAGAAATAAAAATTTAAGAAGAAAATAGGAAAAGTAGAAGAAATAATCTGAGCAAATCTATATGGGAAAAATTAAAAGTTAGGAAAGATTTAGAGAATCCTCATTATTTTCTTGTGCTATATATATATATATATATATATATCTACTGTGACTCACTAAATCCTTCATTTATCGATTTGCTCTTACAAGATGGAATATTTGCTTACAAATTATGTTTTGTTTTTTTCCCGAATATGACTTGTGACCCTTTATACTATATCTCAGTAACAATTATTAGGCATATTAATTGATATATTCATCTGTCTAATTTGTCTTTCCTCAATAAGTTTAAGACAATTAAATTCTATATCCATCTACTACTAATATATATCTCCACTACCTCTTTCTGTAGTTGGTAAAATGGCTACCCATAACTCCTATTCATTAATTTATTCTCTGATTTCTCTTTTCCTTCACATATTTTCAAACCAAAATATACACTCTTTTAATTGATTTCATGAAACTCTTATTGTATCAATTAACTGAAATTTTAAACAGCTTGCTAACATAAAGTTGAGGGGCAATTTTGACCCTTTTATACTTATTAAAATCAGACTTAAATGTCCATTGGTTTTGAGGGGCATAGTTGGTCAGATGGCTAACGGCCAAACCAAAATCAAATAAGTGATATAGTTGTTTTTATTTTCAATAATTGAGAAGCAATTTCGACCCTTTTCCCTTTTCTTTTCAAAATCAAACTAGGAATTTTCCTGGTTTCAACTATTTTTGTTTAACCAAAAATAAGTGGAGGACGCCAGAAAAAAAGTAGCAAAGAGGATTATTCTAAATTTATTGGAGATATTAATGTCATTTTAAAGATCCCATTTTTTGGTATAATCACATGGATGAGAACGTGAAGTAATACAATTTCCTTATAACAAGGATATATTATCAAGGTCAATAATAGAACTAATTAATGAAGATTGGGTTGTGTGTCCATTAGTAGCAACAATAACTCACAGAGGTTGAAATGTGGCTGACCTCATTTAATTCTCTTCTGATTTCATTCCTTCCTTTACAATTAATTACTATTACTAAATTCAATTTCTTTTTCTTAATGGATAATATAGATATTAATTCAGTTATTGAAGTCGGTAAAGCCGTTTGTCTAAAGCTTCACAGTCAAGTTATCACCTTTTCAATTTATTGCATTGTTTCTTTAAAAGAAAATATAATTTTAATACTACGTAATAACTAATACAGTCAAACCTCTCTATAATAATTTCGTTTGTTTCGATATTTTTTTATTTTTATAGTGAGGTGCAGTTATAAAGGACATAAATTATAACATAACATAAAAATTAGTTTCGAAAAAAACTTCACTTTTATAGTAAATGATTGTTATAAAGAAATGTTGTTATAGAGAGGTCTAACCGTAGTGTGATTAGTCATCGAGAATGCCATGTTAGAAGCACTGCACCTGGCAGTCTAATTTTTTTTTCTTTTATCAACTAGTACTAGTATGTATATTAATATATTAATATGTATAATTTTCAGTTGAACCTTAGATTATTAATTTAACTCTAAACCGAGGTGCCGCCCCCCTCTCTTCACTCTATGGTTTTAGGCACTTAAACCCTAGCAATAATTTTAGTTTCCCAATTACTATGCTTTTTAGAGAGAGAGAGAGAGAAGTAGTTATCCAACCTTTCACAACAACCAAAAAAGAGAGTTTAATTTGTTATTTATAATTTGTTATTTATCTTTTGCTAAGTGAAAATGAGAATAAAACATTACGTATTTCAAAAAAAAAATCGTGGAAACAAGACATAAAACCTACAAGCACTTATGAACAAAAATCATTTTCTACAAGCTCTTGCACTCTGTTTTGCATGTATTATATTAACTACACGAGATGCATGCAGTAAACTGAGTTAACGAGATAAATATTTCTTCCAAATCCAAACTATAGTTTTTGCTAACTAGATTTGTTGTAAGATGAACGGTTGAGCTTAGCTTATATTAATTTTGATGATTAACAAACAGTTGTTAAAGAACTAGATCTTTGAACATATTTATTGTACTAACAGATTTACAAGTTTGTGAAAACATCAAAAGAACCATGTCTCTTGAAGTACATCGATCAGAAGCTGCGAAACTAATTTATTTAAAATAAATAAGGTGTTAACCTTTGCTATAGGAGGTAAAAATTTCAAATTAATTCCAAATGCAAATCGTTAAAGGATTTATTTCGTGGGTTAAAAATATGATAATAATTGGAGGAGTTTGTGATTAACAAGGATTCCTTAATTATGAGAATACTGGCATAAAAAAAACGTGTGAAAAAGGGGAAAATGTGTAAAATTGAGAATAAAACAAGAAAACCGAATCTTAAAACGGTTGTTTTCCTAAACCGAAATATTTCAAGTTTTGGAGTATTAATTGAAGCGGATTTCGGTCAATCTCACTGTTATGCAAAGCATCATTGTCATGACCGGGAATTTCCTCGGGATCGTGATGGCGTCTAACATTTCACTCTCTAGGCAAGCTGACGTTAGAGTATTTATCCATTTTCAACAGTTCAAATTAAATAATAATAAAGAAACCGAAATAGCTGAAACAAACTATGAAGTAAAGAGCGGAAAATATAACAATTAAAATCTTTAATACAGTCTGAATCTGGTGTCACAAGTGCACGAGCTACTAGAATACTACAGATAAAGGTTTGAATAAAAGTAAAGCTATCTAAAAGAAAAATACACAGCCAGGGGGGGGACTGCGAACGCCGAGCAACTGTACCTCAAGTCTCCACACTGATAGTCAACCCGGGCACGCTACTGACTCCCAAATCTACACAAGAAGTGCAGAGTGTATAGTATGAGTACAACCGACCCAATGAACTCTATAAGAGCTGAGCTTAACCTCGACGAAGTAGTGACGAGGCTAAGGCGGGTCACTTACACTGTAACCTATATGCAGAATGAAATAACGGAAGGAAAGAAAATGTGGAATCGAATTAAAGTAGTTAACACATGAAATTAACTCAACCTCCAAAGGAAAACCAGTAAATGCCAGAAATACCAACCCTTAGAGCCTTATATGAAGATATCGAAGCCAACACAACACATTAAGGAAGTAGAAACACATAGATTGTTGTGGCGCGAAACCTGATCCCATCGTACAACACAATTCTCCCTTATTTCACCGTAATAATATCACCAATACATATTACTAAGTATTGGTGTTAGCTGAGGTAGTCAGGTGTTGGAACAAGTTTGGTTATAGTTGTTTCTCCCTTGCCGGGACGTAGTTACTTATACTGTCGATTCTCTTGCCGGAATAGTGTAGTTCTTTATTGATTCCGTGTCGGGACTCTCGTTATGATTGTTGTTAATTGTATATGTAGATCGGGTTGAACTACAAGAAAAAGGGTTATTAGGGACCAAGAATTAGCGACTAGTTAAAAATCTTGTCTCTAAAAGTGTACATATAGGGAACATTTCATTTCCTGGTCCCAAAATCGCATTTTTTATTCGAAATAAATGAAGGGATTTAAATCTGGTCTAAACAAAGACAAATACCCAGTCTCTAATAATCACATTTCAACGGAAGAAGAATAAGTAAAAACTTTTTACTTTTAGGTACTTCCCAAAATATTTTTTCCCGTCTCTCTCTCTCAACCCTAAAATTCCAAGACACCTAAAACCTTCTCAATAGCTCTTTTTTCGGCACAAATTTGTTAATCCTTGGGCATTAGCTACTTCAAGGGTAAGTTAATTTCTTCAATTTCTCATGTTACTCGTTTTTTTAAAATGAAAATCAGAAACTTTTTCCTTCCGTTACTTTCTCTTTTTCGTTCTTTCTTTTGACATATGGTTCTTTGATTGTGTTTATTTCTTTGTTAGAATACTAATTTTTGTTGTTTGAGAACTAGAAGTGAGGGTATTGGGTTTGAAGTTGGGGCTTGGAGGGCAAGAGTCACCTTAACGTTTTATTTTTTTTAATCTATTTAAAATTTAATTGTTCTTGTGTGAGCTAAAGTAAAGTATTTGAGTATTAGTTGTGGAACTTTGTCTATTAGAGTTGTATTAAGCAAGTCTTTTGGGAACTTGATTGAAAGACTAAGGAATGTATGTCGTGGGTATATTGTGTGATATTATTTGTTATGGGTTTTCTTATGTGGTGATGAATTGGTTGAATTTTTTACATATTATGTGCTATAATTTAGTTTCTTTACTCTAGAATTTTATGGGTTTTTGAATTGTATAACCAATTTATTGATCTTGGTAAATCCAATATGATATTTAAGAAAACCTCTAGACGGGAAGAAATGGTGGTATGCATTGTCTTTGTTAACTATTTCCCTCCATTGTCTTTGTTTCAATTTTTAAACTTGCATATTTTAATGTTGACATCATTTTGGATCATCTGGTCCCTACAGTCCCAGTTGTTTGATTCATACTGCACTAGCTATGAAAGATTGCAAGTCTATGTTCATTAATTAAGAATATCCAATAGTATGAGAGTTTTGATTTCACTATTGCTGGCATAGAAATGTATTCCAGCAATGTGTTGTACTATGAATATATTTGTTTAGTTTTTTACTTCTCATGTAGAAGCAATCTGAAGAATAAATTTGTTTTGTTCTCAATACTAACATGCATTCTCTTACATAATGCTTTAATGAAGTTTAATATGTTGTTATTGTTTGTTGTAATGCTTTAGGATTGTATGTGCATAACTACATATGTAGATATGCAAGATTTGAATGTCCCATATCTGTTTTTCTTGAGGTTGTCTTTTCAAACTTACTAATTAAGTTTTATTGTTAATGAGTTTCTTAGCTAATTTGGACTAATATCTATCTAAGAAACCTCAAGATAGATAGAGGAGCGAACTTCAAAGCTAAATTTAAACATCATAATCAGTAAACAACTTGGTTTCATTAAAGTCCTTTGTTTTCACTGTCAATTCTGTCAAAATATCACAATAGTATATGTACTAGTGTCATCGTTAGTCAAAAATAATTATGGTAGAAGGTGTATTAAATGAATAGGAATATGTAAGCTACATCATTTATTTATTTTGCTGAGCAATTCTATATTATTTATTTTGACTATCAATTAATAGTGTATCTCATCTTGTGATATCTTAGAAAGTTTTGCTCATTAGAATGGGTTTGCAAGTTTAATAAAAGGTTATGTGCACCTTAGTATTTTTGTTATCCTAAATATATATTTTTTATCTAATATCTATATACTAGTCAAGGTTATGGCACCAAGTAAGCAATGGATGCAGCATGTTGATAGCCGACTTGATGAAGCTTATTCAATCGGGGTTCATCAATTCTTCTATTGATGAGATGCAGAGAGTTCCAAATAAATGACTCAGAGGATTGCCTCCGAAAAATGTTTGTCACTGGTAATTTTACTTTGCTAGTTAGAGCAAAGGCTGATATCAATATGCTCTATAGTGCTATTTGAGATGTTTCCTAGTAGTTATCCTTTTTCTGATGTTATTGAATTATATACGATAGAGTATGATTTAATGTCTTAACTTTGAAAAACTGTTAGAAAGTTAAATTTTTGCTTTGCTCCAGGAGAGCTTTTCACATACTCTAAACTTTAAAAAAATTATTTTTATTGTAGGATAAATTTGATAGTGATGACATGGATATTCATCGTGATCATATTTTGGGTTGGATGAAGAAATTATGGATTAAATGGAGAGGAAAATTGCATGCAAAGTATGTGAAGGGTAAGCTAATCCAAGAGGCTCTTATAAATGTGCCAAAGGGGGTAGACAAGAAAGAATGGGAATGGCTGCCCTTTTGGCTAGCAATTCTTATTATCGTGTTCAGTATTATGATATTTTATTTACCCCATAGCTCCTTGCTGTCTATATTGTGAACCAGAGATCTCATGTGTGAGTCATGTGCAAGCAAATTACACAAATCTTGCTTCAATAACCTCTAGACCTACTAGAATTCTTCTCAATTGTGTCAAGATGCAGAATGTTTTCCAATTTAAAAAAATCAATGTAAATGCTTGTTCTAACAAATGAGAAACTAGACCTACTAGAAAGGGACTAATTAATCCAAGCACTAAGCTTGAAAAGACTAGACAGAGTACTATTTATAGCAAATTACTTATCTTTTAATTACTTTGCTCTAACACAACAAGTCATAAACTGTTACTTCCAATTTGATTTGTATTGTCTGTTTTTTCAAATGCATAGCTCTTTAGTTAAGTGGACGCAATTCCCTGATTCTAGAGCTAGGATCTTTTGGTATTTTGATAATGAAATTCACCCTCCTCCTTTTCCCGCTGACACTCTTCTTGATTCTATGTATGCAGTTTAGATTGTATACTTTTAGCTGAAGTCCATCCACTTCAATTTCTAGTGGACTGCCAATTTTTGAGGATACTAGTTTTGTGTCTCCAAATACATTTTGCTTGTCCTAACAGATCTTATCTTTATGTATCTTGCATTTGTCATCCTTGTGTACTTGACTTACATAATGCGCTTTTTGTTGCTAATTTGTCCTTATCAACAGTTGTGTGAAATGAGAAGAACTTCCTCAGCTCAGCCTTTTGACTATTAGTTTTTTATCTTAAAGCTTAGGAAAACTTGACTTATTATTCTTATTATCCAAAAAATAGATATATTATTTCTAATCTACTCATGTTTGTTGTCATGCAGCCTCTTTTATATTGACGGTTTGTTTTTCAAGTATATATAATTACATTTGACGAATTTGGGCATTTATTTAGGTAAGTGGTTAAATAATTATCCTATTAAAATTTATTTTCTATTTTCCTTCAATTTATTCTTGAGAATAATTGTTTGCATCTTTTTTTCAGGTTTTGGAAACTATAAATTACATATTAAGATGCAGCTTTTGGAGACATATATAAAAGATGACTATGATTTTACAATGATATATTATTGCAAAAACTATTTTTATATTTCTAATCTAGGAATATTAATTAGGTGTTTTTGCTATGGGTTTTTGTAAAAGATATTGTGACTTATATTATGGCTATATATACATCTTGCCATTAACAAGAAGTTACTCAATTTTTGTAATAGAAAGATTTATATTATATTATTTCTTGTGACCATGGTGGTTAGAGAATTTTATTGATTAAAATTGAGATTTATTCATATTAACCTTCAGGGACTAGCTGTAATGTCAATAGTCATTTGATCAATTTAATAGATATTGATTTATAATTATGGACGAGAAAAAGTAGTTCCCAAAATATTTCAGGGACCAGAAAAATCTGGTAGCTAAATCAATTAAGGACCAGATACTATCTAATTAAGGTATTATTTTTCTTTTATTGTGGACCAGAAATCTGGTCCTTAAAAATATTATAGAGAAGGGAAAATTGCTGGTCGTTGAAGCCCTTTAGAGACCGGCTCAAAATCCCCATCGCTATTGACCTTCAGCGGCGAAGCCTATAGCGACGGGTCGCGACCAGGTGATGTTGGTCGTTGTTTCTCTTTAAGGATCAGATTTTAGTTTTTAGGGACCATTTTTCTTGTCACTAATAATTATTTTTCTTGTAGTGTTTGTCGCACCTCCTTTTTTCGCCTCCGCGAGGGGCGAAGGGAGTTTTCTCCAATTAAAGGACAGTCGAAACGGGATTTGTTTGTTTGTTTCAGAGTCGCCACTTGGGAATTTTAAGGCGTCCCAAGTCACCAATTTTAATCCCTGAATCGAGGAGAATATGACTTTGTTTATTATTCTGCGAACCAGAAATCCTGAGTAAGGAATTCTGTTAATCCGGAAGAAGGTGTTAGGCATTTCTGAATTCCGTGGTTCTAGCACGGTCGCTTAACTGTTTTTATTCTTGGCTTAATTATCTCGATTTTACATTTTTTATTGCATGATTTTGTTATCGCTTCTGTTTAGATTGTTTATAATTAAAGACCCTTCTTCGAATCGAATCACGCATACGTGTATCCGTTTTATATATTATATATTTTTAACGTGAGAAATCGTGTCACGCGTACGTATACACAATGATATTGATAATATAATAATTATTTTTTCGAAACTTTTTTTTATTATAAAAACAGACTTAAATTTGAAATTGTGCTTAAAATAAAATTAAGAACATTTGTCGCTCTTGTATGATTAAATAGTGAACTGCACATCTCGGGTTTTTATGAAATTAATAATGATATTCTCCAAGAAATCCCTTTTATTAAATATTCGATCGAAGTCACGCGAACGCATAATCCGAATTTCTTTTAGAAATATAATTAGGTTACGCGAACGTATCCCTAATCACAAAAATATTCTTGATGGTA